GTGATCACGGGCTTTCCGGGCTTTCTAGTCTTACTTATAACTCAAAGAATTATCTTTGTCTGCACGACCGCCCACGTGTAAATCATACGAGGAATAGGAAGTTGCGTAGTAACCATAGTAACGGTGTTGAAACGTGCAAGTGCACGTACAATGATTGTTTTAACGTCATTTTGTGGTAATTCCGTTGTGTTCACTCATTCAGTGCGAGATACATTTTAATCGGCTGTGTCTTCGGTTGTGATGGATATTTTTGATGCAATAAAACTGGAACTTCCCTCCCTGTGACCACGGGCTTTCTAGTATTATATAGTACTAGAAAGCCCGTGGTAACAGGGAGGAACCTAATAGTATTCTTTCGAAGTAAGTTCAAATCGTTTCAAAAAGTATTCATCCCCACCGAAGATACAGCCGATTAAAATGTAGCTCGCACTGAACACAACGTTATTACCACAAAACCGATCAAATGACGTTAAAACAATCTTTGCACGTGCATGTGTGCATTAAAACACCGTTGCTATGGAACCTTTTGGTTGTTACCTAAATTCCTATTTCTCGTCTAATTTGCACGTGGGCGGTCGTACAGACATACAGACAGAAACAATTCTTTGAATTATAGTAGAGATTAATAATCAAACTGCAAGTCTATATTAAAAATCAGACAAAAATACAAACTTTTTAAATATCACAAGATACTAGTATTGTTTGACATGATGCAATGTTCGTTCCAACACTTTTATAGTCTTATTTATCGTAGTTAATTTATTTGGTTTTTACTTTTTTAAATTCCTGCACACTAATATTAGGCGTGCTTTGAATTCTGGAGGGTAATATGAAATATAATTAGCGTGTTCATATTGTTGTGGCTCCGTGGCGTCCAACACAATGTTACGGTTTAGAACACCACCAGTCACCACATTCCTTATTGTTCTTTTTAGTTTTGTTCACTTTCCGAGGACACACATCGCAGTCTTCTTCAGTACCGAGTCACATACTTTCCATATTTTTCATAACAGTTCGAACTCTTTATTTTACACTTCGAACTTTTCTGCGTGCACTGGAGTCTGAACTTCAGTTTCCATTCCAAATTTTACCTAATTATCATCTCTACACTTGATTTATACCCTGCCTAACACCACTGGGGCTATATCATTACCGTCTTATCCCCAACAATCACCCAACTAATATCATCAAGGTTTCCCTCAAATATAAGCAAGATGAGAGGCTTCACGAGTCCCAGGCTAGCGTTACTTCTTGCTACAATAACAATGATTGTCTGGTCTGACATGGAATGCTATAGGTGTATCGACTTAGTTGTGGACAAGGAGAATGTAACTGTACCAGAGGTAGGGTCTATCAAGTTTCAACCAGATTTTCCAAAAAAATAAAACACATTTGACTGAAATCACTCTTTTGCGGTAAACAATCGTGGCCAGTGACAACCGCCGGTCGGGAAGAATCAAACTCAACTCAGCAACCTTTTTTTTTTAAACTCATATATCACTTCCACACGTGACATAGATTGTTCATATCAGACATTCCTGTCACATTCTTGAGTATTGGGAATTTCCCAGATTCATGACTTTTCCAAATAACCTGGTTACTTGGCAGGTAACTTACAGGGTGTTCACGATACATTGAAACGGTTTTAAATGTCTATAAAAACATTTATGAAAGAGCACTCCACTATATTTTCCACTCATTTCCTTTGCTAATCGATTAAATTTATGTTACAACCAGTCCAGATATCAAAAATGTCACACAATTCTCAAAATTTAAAATATTGTGCTGCAACATCCTGAGTGATAACTGTGAAGAATGTTTCTGCCAGAACTAGTTTGGAAATTGGCCCCAAAATTTGGACTCTAAAAATTTCATAGTAGTAACCTGGACCCCTCAGATATCGCAGTGTGAGTTGTACAAGAGGTTACCATGTGACAGGATGACCCACCGCTGCTATCAGTTTATCTTCAACTTTACGCTGACAGAGAACGTTAGCCAGGTCGGCCTCTACTCCTACCACGACCCTTTTGTCAGTAAGTAACTTTAACGTGTAATATCCGGATAAGTTGCATTGTTGTGATGTTTAGAGTTCAAACTTCAAAATGTTGTGATACTTAGAGTTTAAAATGGCGGGAACTAGAACGAACACCAATGCAACATTAAGACAACATTAATACAACATTAAAACAACAATAAGACAACAATAAGACAACATTAAGACAACATTAACGCAACAAACACCAATGTTCTCTTATTTTTGTCTTATTGTTGTCTTAATGTTGCATCGGTGCTCGTTCTAGTTGCCAAAATGTCTGATAATTCCGTTTATGCGACCAAAGGAAACTGCTCTTTTTTGGGACATTTATACGTTCAGATTATTCGTCTCATTATTAGAAATTGTAGTATTGGCAGTATAATACTTAAAATCGTTCTCTTCAGAGGTGAACTACTGGGACTGTTTTCCATACGAGTTTGGTTGTGACGAAGTGCTACCACAAGTTCAGGGACTGACCAGCGATCCCCGCGCCACCGAAGGACTCAGGTGCGACCAATTTCCTAGGAGTGCTGAGGCCTTGTATCGACCTAATACAATGAGTGGAGTGAGCCGATTGCAGGGGAGTCTTGTGTTAGTTGTTGGGATGGTTTTGCGATTTCTGGGGGCGTGGTGAATGAAGGTAAACAAACGATAAAAGTTCGAACTTCGGAGCTTGACATCGTGCTTTATTGAGATGGCCAAGATGATGTTAAATTGTTTCTTTTTGAGATGAGGATCAAGACATGGGTTCGTTTGAAGAAAAGACAAATTTTGATTTGAAAACAAGATGTTATGACAAGATGGAGATGAAATGAACAATTTAAGAGATATAACTTTATCCTAAATATTGAAGACTTTTACACCTTGAACACGTGGGCTAACGTCTTATTGAAAAGTCACTGGTTTGCTATTTAATTTATGTTGTATTCACTTTCTGACATGTAAATGATCTCTCATTTGTCGTCGGGAAACAATTAAATCTCAAATTGGTTGCTCTCATTGATATAAAATCAGAGGAGGGAAATGTCACAAACTAGAATGTAAACATGAAGCATGATATTTTTCCAAGACTGTTGATTAGAAGCTGGTTGACTTGTCAGGTGTAATCTAAAAAGTTATCTGTCCCCTTATCCGACTAATGGTAAGGTTACGACATGATACAAAATCATCACAATCTCCTTCCAGTACAAGTTAAGGACCGCTCACATTTGCTTCGTGGGTCATGGTGAGTCACTCATCTTATTTGTTCAATTTTTGGGAGGGTGAGTGTAGGAATATCACTAATTCACGGTTAATTTAGGAAGTCAGGGTTGTTGTTTGGTCCAGTCGATTCGCAGAAGCGGAGTAAAGTTTTCGCGCGCGCTTCGAAAAACGTCCGTGCGCGCAGTGTATATTACATAAAATACGTTTGGCGATAGCGCGCGACGTTAAAATTTAGCCACGAGTGCAGAAAAATGGAGCGTAGGCTGGTAGCCCCATGACTCCTGCAAGTTGCAATGAGGTCACAAGTTGCACCATTGATAAGTGATCTCTCATTGCACAACAAAACCGATATCTCACCTTCCTTTGCCGACCCAGTTACCAATAACTGCAACAACTGCTGGCCAACCAGTCGCTTGAAACGCTCCAATTATTATCTGAAAAAGTAAAACGGTTTTTATGATTAATAATCCACGATTGGTTTAATACAATAACTTCATACCTACAATAAGTTGGTCATTTCATACCAAAGTATGTAGTGATACACTAATGACTCGCTAGCAATCACCAACTCTATAATGAGGTCACACACTCGAAACTCAATTACTATTCTGCTATATTTCACAATCTATTCTGCTATATTTTACAATCTATTCTGCTATATTTCACAATCTATTGTGATATATTTCACAGTAAAACCAAACTATAAGTAACACCATATTATGGAGAGCATTCCTGTTTGCATGGTTCAAATTCAGAGAAAGTTATACAAAACAGTTGCCACGGTCATGCTCTGAAATGAAGTGCAAGCTTGTAGTGGGTGGTGAAGATGCCTACTTCTAAACTTCTCAATAGGTTCAAATAGGTAGAACACTTCATGACAGTGGTGATTTCACTGCAACCTCATTGGTTACGTGTCATTAAAGAGAAACTTAACTTTCAGAATAAAGATTCAGTGCCAGTTGAACAGCTAGCCCCCAACAATCACTCATATTTACTCAGTGAAATAAGGAATATTGAAAATGGTTTTTACCTGCATAATAACAAAGTATGCTAGAGAGTGTATCTCGAAATACCGTGCCATTCCCATTAGCGTCATGAAGATACTGGTACCTGGAATGTAGGGTATAATGCTGAGTAATGTGTAATTTAAAAACAATAAGATATAATTTCCATAACTTAATATAGTAACTAGTCACGGAGTACCCAAATATTTGTACTTAATTTGGAATATCATTTATTAAACATGAATAACATGACAACATTCAAGAATTAGTCCAGGTTTGAATTGTCAAATTATTACCATTAACCAGTGGCCACTTGGTGATGTTTGGGCATTCAATTTACTGATATCGGAAGTAAATAACTGTAAACATTACTGAACTATCCTAGTAAGAATACATTGCAACCATGAGACTCATAAACAATATTTCAATCCGGATTTTACATTACATACCTATCATTCCAACAGTCAGGAAGTATCGTAGACTGATAGTATCGGCAATAGAACCACTGAAACAATTAAACAATAAATAATCAAGAACAACTATGTATATATAGATTGTATATTATATACAGGGTGTATGCGGTGTACCGCATAAAGTGTGACTTTCTTCCAATTTAATAGTTTTTGACAAAATTAAACTTCTCGGGTATTTTTAACTAAATTTTGTTCAAATATAGTTGAATTGATAAAAATACTAAAAAATATGGTTAGTAGTTAAGCATATTTTCAAAAAATGCCACCCTTCCCAAAAATAAATATTATAGACTGAAATTGACATTATTTATGGCTGAGGTCCAAGATTTTAAAAATCTAATAAAAACGTTTTTAAGACCTTCCTCAAAATTCTGCCCGGACAATCTCTTCTAAATGATCCCTAAAATTTATTTTGAAAGTTACTACGCGTGATAGAAAATCGTTTGCGCAATAAAATTACTCATGACCGCTGACCTTTGACAAGCGATAACTTTGGCTAGGAACAAAATATTTTGATAGGACCAAAAGCAACTTAATAACAGCAAGCTTAAGTTCCTGAGGTAGCACCATAACAGTATAACAGTTTGTGAGAAAAAACAATTGATAGGGACTTGAAACTTGGTATGCATAAATTCGATATATATTGACACAATGTGATCTGAAGAGTTTTGAGCAACTGCTCCTTCATAGTATTTTGTATCATTTCTCAAAAAAGTCACACTTTCTGTGGTACACCCAGTACTTTATTAAAGTATGTACATTACACAGTCTCGTATTTCGTGAGTAGTATTGCTCTATACATTTGGGCCCATAAAAATCACCACGAACATCGGAATCCTAGTATTTGTGTAAATTTTCTAGACTGAAATTTTCTAAACTGTAAACTTAATACCGATCTTGATTCTCTAAACTGTAAATTACTTCTGGCGAAAAAGGACATAAATTCAATGTATTATATGAAGAACGGAGGAAAATGTAATGTTTCCTTGTGTTTGAAGTTTCCTAAAACTTACCACGCGAATATGAAGATAGCGTAACTGAGCAGGAATGCAGTATCTAAGTAACCAAGCAACTCTGTACCATCTGTACCGTTAAATGGGGCCCAGCCTTCTGAAGTCGTGTTATCACTGCAGTTCCCGCCGTGTAACGTTGACTTCACTGCGGGGTAGATTTAGTGTGGAATGTGGATGATATATTAATACTTTCAACACTACTATATAACAAATAATTTGAGGAAACGATGTAACAGAGTCGATGTATTTTAATGTTGCCATGGGGTGGCAAGTCCCCATATATCGTGGTCCGGTAGTTTCATTGCGTCCTAATATTAGAATTAGAACAATAATTTAATTTCAATTTACACGACCAATACACAAAGAGAGTAAAGGTTTTAAACCCTAGATTAAATCTATAAAGTTCTGTTACATTTATAATGTAACTGTGAGAGGGTAATTTGAGGTTGGAAACTGGCTGGAACAAGCCAATTGTAGAGTGTCATCAGTGTAGTAGTTGGAGAATTCTAGTCATGATTCAATTACAGTCACGAAATGATTGAAGGATTGATAATGGAAAGTTGTATACATTTTAAAATTATTTGTGGTCATATCCCTCGCACATTAAGGCCTCCATAGTCCATAGTAAATGAAGTACTTCGAGTCTATATACATACTCTTCAATCTCATTAAACTATATAAAAAAAATAAGTATAAAGAATAAGGAAAAGGAACGGGAATGAAGCCAATACCAGAAGTGAAACCCCACCAAAGAATAATTGATCCTTAGGTAGACCTGGTGAAATAAAGTAACTGAACTGTAAGTTTAAGAAAAGACGGAAGGAATAAAGGAGAGAGGAAATAATGTTATGTGAACATCATCAGCAGATGACTTGGCACACCGGTTTCGAATATTTTACTGGTAAACGTCTGAATCTAAGCCTAGCAGGACATTTCATGTATGGCTACTTTCTTAAGACATTGTTTCTTTAAATGAACTCCAGTCCCCGCTAACCATATGAATCTGTGTGTTGAGTATTTATTTTGTGTACTATTTTAATACGTAGTCCAGTCCCCGCTAACCATATGAATTAGTGTGTTGAGTATTTATTTTGTGTACTATTTTAATACGTAGTCCAGTCCACGCTAACCATATGAATTTGTGTGTTGAGTATTTATTTTGTGTACTATTTTAATACGTAGTCCAGTCGCCCTGAAAATCAAGATCAGTAATCTTAATTTCAATTTTCATTACTGATATAATAAGCGCAATCAAAATGCCATTTTACATTCTATTTCTTCTCACACATCTGTCCGGTACCAGCAAACTTGATAGCGGTACGTGGTGAAACATGAGAATTATTTTGTAAGACAGAATTAATACGGGAAATCACGAGACAAGTAAAGTAATTTGAGTTGGAATTTTACGATTCAGATCGAATTTCATACATTGTACATAATGTGTGTTCAATAGATAAGATACTGAAAACGTGATAAGGAGGTTGACTGTCTAGGTTGAATTTCACAACATATAAATATAGCTGATCACGATTTACACATGCATTTTGAAAGCTCGGACTGCTAAAACAACTTATCGTATCACTTTTATGTTTTAAACAAATCCCCATCCAGATAGAGATATATTGTTTCTATTAGTTTTTAATATCAAAATTATTCGCTGATATTTGTTTATTTACTCAAAGTTAGACAAACAATTTAAAAACAGTTTTTATCCAAGTTGTAAACCTCAAAGAATCTGACTGTGAGTGATGTGAGCAAATGTGTTTAAACGTTATATTACTAAACAGAAACTTCAAATCATAGCCTCGAAAATATAACCAAAAAGAAAACGTTATTTACCAACTCCTAGACTCTTTCTGTTCATGTGATAGGACATATAGACAAAGAAAGTTAGTGCCAAAATCCAGCATTTGTACCTGAAAAAAAAGTTATATATTTACGACTTAAAATGTTGATACATGACACATTCAATTCAATTCATTTAACATATGATATCAACATTTGAAAGTTATGGAGAGTGTTTTATAACTCAATTAAATTTCTAAATTGGATGAAATCCTAAAAAACAAAATTTCATTGAAATTGCTGTTCTGAAACGTTTGAAAAGCTCCATTAGTTTTAAAATCATCTTAAACGAAACACTTACACAATGTTGCGAGGAGGGGAAGGACCAGTAGCATGCTTGAAGCATTTGATTCCCAAAGGTACCGGGTCATATCGCATTCCGGAACCCATGGGGGCGGGGCCTAATCA